GTTTGTTACACATAAAGCAACAGTCAATTTATAGCTCCCTGCGACATATCTAATAAATGTGGTCTATTTTTTACGCCGCATTCGCCCCAATTCGTTACCGACTTATTCAATTCAAACTTATAATTGAAAGTTAAAACATATTAATTAGCTTCAACAAATGAAAATAAACAGTGTGGAGCGAGCACCAACACTTTAATCACAGCTTCCGTGTTTATCGTAAGTTCCGACGTCGGACCAATCAATGTTGGCGGACGCTGCTCGTTTGCTCTCCGCTCGTATAAAAAAGTAAGAACTCACAGATCTTCCAGGCCGTCGAGCGGAGCGAACGCCTCGGAGTCGATGTATTCGATCAGGTTGCCCTCCACGTCCCTGCAGCGTGACGTCACGCAACGTCGCGTTATTTGCCATTAGAACATAAATTAAAATAGATACTATATATATATTAAACTACGATACCATATGTTATACATACGCAGTTAAAGTTCACGACCAGGAGAACTGTTATTGTTAAACTTAAAACATTTCAACTAAAAGTTCACAGATACTTCACTCGCCCTCAGCTCGCATTGGAGCGGACCTTTGGTGTAATAAATCAATACATATACCAGCGAAAGATTGACCTTCGTGCCAGTCAGACAAATGACATTTAAAATTGAAATATTGTTTTTCTGAGTTGTGATGTTGTATGTATAATGTGTGGTGCCGGTGGTACCGACAGCAGTTGCAGGTGCGGCGTGTGCACGAAGGCGTCGGCGGGCAGCCGCCGCAGCCGGTTGCGCGCCAGCTGCAGGTCCAGCAGCCGCCGCAGCCCGCGCAGCGCGCCGCCGCCCAGCTCGCGCACCGCGTTGTCCGACAGCGACCTGGAAAAACACAAAGCCCCGCTGCCACTCACACTCACTCTTCACCCCTTCCGGTACTCTCCCCGGAGACCGTTATAAGTAAACTGTGGTAGGATATATCTATCCATGATTCCTTTAATGCAATCGTGCAGATAATGAGCTGTGACGACGTGACAAGAGGTGTATGGTGAGATGAGTGGTGGGATGCACTTACAGCACGCGCAGTTCGGCGCACTCTCGCAGATCGGGCACGCCGTCCAGCTGGTTGCCACTTAGCTCCCTGCACGCACACACACAAAGGCTTCAAATATTTTCTACAAATAATATGTTTAACATTTTTATAAAGGTAGAAGAAGAAGAAGAGCGATGGATGGATTGTGTAAAAGAGGATATGCTTACGAAGGAAGTGAATTAAGATATGACGACTGATAGAGATTTATGTATCGAAAACTTGACGTTTAACAATGGTGATACATAAGCGTTCTTTCCTTACAGGGTAAGTGTCTTGTCTTGTGTGTCAAATAAATTGTTACAAACATCTTTTGCCGGTTATAATTTAGAAGTAGAACGTACAGTGCGTTAATATTTAAAATTTATTAGATGTATGCGTTAGTTTATTTATATCGCGGCGAGTGCACGCAGTTGCAGCGGGCGGCGGATGCGCGCTCCACATACCGCCCCTCCCCCCACTCCCCCCACATATCCCGTGACTCAAGCTGTGCTCAGTTCAGCAGAGCTCCGAGCGCCCTCAAGGATTCGTTTCGTATTTAGTTTGCACAATGCGACGTTGTCCCGGCTGTGGCGGCTCGGGAAGGTGAATATTGTGTATATATATGCGCGTTTAGAAAACCGCCGCCGCAGCTGTCATAATGACGTCAATGAAGCTAACGGCTAGGAGCTGTTTCGCAACTTTTGATACAACGCGTGACTCAGTTAATGAAAATTAAGCAATGTTTTAATTAGTAATTCAATTAAACCAAAAGTTAATTAATACAACGTTTTGTGGGAAGCAGTGGACATGAGGCAGGGGTCAGTGGGCAAGGGGTAGTGGGCAGTGGGCAGCGGGCAGGGGGCAGGGGTACAACTGACAGGGCGCGCAGTTGCGGGGCGTGCCGGCAGAGGGCGCGCGGCAGGGCGGCGAGGCGCGTGCGTGCGGCGCGCAGCGTGCGCAGCCGCGCCGCGCCCGCCAGCGCCGGCAGCTCGCGCAGCCCGCGCGCGTCCGACACCTCCCTGCGCACACACACCTATTATGTATTGTATTTCTGTTGCCGCGTTCATTTACTTAATAGTTTCAAAGCCTCATTGCAAATTTTTATCTGATAATAAAATGTTACGTTATCTAGGTAAAATATAAAACCAGACTTCAAATCAAAACTCTTTAATGAATAATAACGTAAGCGTCGCTTAATAGGTTCGGTTTATTTGAAAAGGATTCAACTTAAGTTGATTTCAGATTTTATATATAAACTAAATACATTAAGTAAGGTCTAAGGCTCAGTAAGGCTTAAATAATATCAGTTTCGAATCGACGTGAACCAAATTGCGGCCGGCTACTGACTAGACAAAGTTAGAAAAGTGGGAGGTGGGCGCGAGGCCGGCAGCAGGAGGGCGCGGTGCGCTGCGCGGGGCGCGGGGCGCGGGGTCTCTGCGGCCGCAGTATTTATAGGCGATGTTAATAGAAATATCACTGAAATGTTTTAATAACCGAAAGGCGTTTGATATGTGAGCGCGCAGCGACATTGAAACACACTCGGTAGCTGTGAGCACAGCTTCGTTTGCGACAAACTTGCGTCCTCAACTCTATACGTATTAATACGTTTGCCGCATCTACCTACCTGCCTACCCTGACTCACCCGATAACTACATACGATACTTTTAGAAGAAAATGTAAAAGGGTCGACGAGAATACCAAGTTATCGATGTGTAATCTCCAACCTCCGGAGAGAATGTACTTTGTCTAAAGGCTTGTCTGGAGATGAAGGTAATAGTAATTAGAATTAGGAATTCATAGAGGGCACACATATTACAGGATTGAACGATAAAATACAAACACTCAATTTTCAAGTAATTCTGCTGAAGGAAAAACCTTGTCCCATACAAACTTTCACTTCCGACTCTAGTCTCCGACGTGATACTTTTTATAGTCTCCGTAGTTACAGAACATCTATGGTTAATATGAAGTTTTTAGTTAATTGATATAAAAAAAGCTTACCTTTACCTTCGCGGATCAGTGAAATAAAAACATTATCAAGACACAACGTTATGTGTATAATGTAAAGGCAATATAAATATGATGACGAAGGTAGCGGAATGTGTGTGTGTGTGTGAGTACTGACAGCGTGTGCAGGCGGGCCAAGTGGTCCAGCGCGTGCGGCGCCAGCGCCGACAGCGGGTTGGCGCGCAGGTCGAGCCGCGCCAGCCGCGCGCACGCCCGCAGGCCTGCGCCCACGCGCTCCACGCGGTTGCGCGCCACGGACCTTCGCAACATAACCACCATTACCTTCGGCTATGATTGTCCCTCGTCAAACACTGCTTTATCATTAATAAAAATAATATGCTTTGCCTAACTCGTAACGAGCTTGTCTCCAGCACGAGCACTACTGCTGTCTCGACTTTTACAGAAGCGGCTTGATCGAATTACGAGTACTATATGAGATGTATAAAGAGAATGTGTGCATGTACACTGACAGGTCCTCGAGCAGCGGCAGGCGGTGCACGGCGGCCGGCAGCTCCGTCAGCAGGTTGTCCTCCAGCCGGCTGCGGACACGGTTACATGGTTACAATAAATATAGCGGTGCTACAACCACGATACCACAGAAGCTATGCGTGAAGTTAAAGTAATGCAGTTTCGTAATATGAGTGTGCCTGTAGGGTACGAAAACATAGGATGGAGATGTGGATTGGTGGAGTGGCCACCTCTCCATCTTGTAAGGCAAGATTGAATAGGGGACTAGGATTTGACGGGGAAAGAGACGTATGGAAAGAGATAAAAACCCTGTTTCTATACTTTGCGCTCCCTCTCTATATATAAAGTTGATAATTGACATTCGCATTGACAACTTGGTGGAGTACTTTGTCGTTCAAAATCAGGTGTCCGCTTGATCGAAATAAATAAAAGTTATTAATTATAATAATAAATAATAGTATAAATTCGGTGCGCCTTCCAAAAATAATATGCATTAGTTTTTGCCCGCGACTTCGTCCCTGCAAAATTAAAAAAAAGAAAAGCAAACCGAAAACATTATTTAAACTTTCGCATTTATAATATTGACAACAAGTAAGCTAAGATTACTGCACTCATTGTAAACTGGCCGCAGAATGCGGTGCAGTAAACCAATGCGGCGACCTTTCTTTAAAATATCAATAAATGCGTTGTTACGGCCCTTGTGTGTCGGCAAGCGCGGGCTGCGGATAGCAGACGTCGACCACGATGCAAACCGGCTCGACTTCAAGTCCGAGGTAGTTTCCGAGCCGCTGCAGACTCAGCGCGTCATTATTGCGATGCATTATATAATTTATTGTTTTCGCTTTCGGTTGCGCCATTCTCGGCCTCACTGCATTCGCGGCGGGTATTTTCATATTGCGTACCTTTCTCAGATCAAAATTAATTGGTTAAATACTTTTTAATATCAACTGAAAGGTAATTGCCGTTGATTTAAGGTTATTTATGTCTAAACGAATCCCGACCTAGATGCCACTCAGTTTATTTCTCTAATATGGACAAAGACCAGATGTGTGTTTGTGTGTGTAAGTTGTGTAGTCAGCAGTAGTGACGCAGAAAAGAGAGGACACGAAATAATAACCTGATTGCGCTCAGATGATTTTGTGTTTAATCGACCGAGAATTTGACGTTAGAAAGATGATATTTCCCCTACGTATGCACTCTTCCTTATAAGGATAGAGTGGTAAGAGAAAGATGACTAAACTTAGGCTTCCGGACGCAAACTCATCAGCGGAAACGCTGAATTACTTCCACTTCACGCCTGTCTGTGTGTCGTGTTCTATCTAAGTGGTCGTGGTATTGCACCGGGCAAGCCGACAAATTCGTGCAAAAGATTATTACACAATTCAGTTACAAGGAGGTGAGGGGCGGCGAGGGGCGGCGTGGGGCGGCGCGGGGAAGCGGGGGCACGGCTGTGAGCTGTCATAACTCATGTGCGTACAAATTACGAGCCATCGCACCAAAGACGTCGAATGTTTTAGCGGTTATCAAAACATAAATATTGGAGCTGAGCCAATACATATGCAACGTGGTGAGATCGCCTTACACGACTGTTTATTGACCTCTGTTCCGTTGTCCTAGGCTAAGTGTAGTGGTCAGTGGCAGTGGCGAAAGGCCGAGGCGTCATGACGCCTGCAGTGCACACACACAACAGGACATTGATCACGGCGGCAGCACAATCCACTGGTACTGCGGCACCTACTAACCTAGGACAACAATTCTTCAGCTTTTTCTAATTTAAAAAATGTAATCCTACATGGTCTATCGTGAGTGATGTATGTACTCGTATGTATAGTACAGTAATATTATCAGGTGAGATCTAGTGTGCGTATATTTTGTCTAGCCGTATTCCGAGAAAAATAAGAGCTTATTTGCGACGATTGCGTCGAACTTGTGACAATAATGGCGCGTTAAATGTTCGGTTTGTAATCACCGCACCCCACCCCACCCCACCCCACTCCCGGCTCCTCGCAGCCCGCGCCCCGCGCCCCGCACCCCTGCCGAGGCCACGGGGCGAGGCGGGTGCAGACCCATTACTCTTACGTCACTTCTACTATATGTAAACTCTCTATAGATTTAAAACTTTATATACAGGAATTTCTTAGTTTGTTTGAAGTTGGCCACCGCGATATGCATGACACACGTGGACGCAGCAACTCAAACCTTAATGTATACGTCTGATTATGTTTAATTTAAGCAATCGTTAATCTATGCTAATAGTATAAAGAGTAAAGATTTGAATTTTTGTATGTACTGAAATAAATCAAAAACTAGTAGACCGATTGTAAAAATTCAATCACCATTACAGAGGTAATTTATCTGTGCGTAAAATACGCTATGTCTTTATTATTTTTTAACCTACATGAACGAAGTCGCGAGCAACAGCTAGTATGAAATAAAATAATTCATCCACATTTGTTTCTTATTATCTTACCAATATTATAAATGCGAAAGTTTAGATGGATGGATGTTAGTTAGAGTTTGTAGCCTAAACTGCTGTACAGATCTCGATGAAATTTGGCATAGACGTATAGGATACTTTGGAAGAAAACATAGGCGTATCCGCGTGGCATTAAAAAAGTGTTTTTATTTAATTCCACAAGGATGGAGTCGTGGGCGAAAGCTAGTATAACATAATTGTATAATGCGGTGAGCATCGTAGTGTAGTATGCGGCGTGTACTCACAGCACGCGCAGCGCCGGCGTGTTGAGAAACGCGCGCTCGTCGATGTACGCGATGCGGTTGCGCCGCAGCACGCTGCAACAGACAGACAAGTTAGTTAGGTAACCAGTGCCAGAAGTTTTTTTTTTTTTTTTTT